TTGACCTTCCTCCGTATTTGCTCTTATTACTCATTGTGACCTTGACTGCATGGCTCACTCCGCAGCCTTGGTTTTCTCTTCTGCAACGTAGTCATGCCAGTCACACCTGCCCCTCCAGCAGGGGGCGTGGGGAGGAGGAGGTCAGACAGCCTGAGTGCCAGGTCAGGGTCAGGGCTCAATGGCAGTGTCAGCACCGCCATCGCCACCACCTTCGTCCGCAAACTCCTAGTTCAGAGCCTTTCCCATGGTCCCACGTCAGCGCCCAGGCCTGGCTAGAAGGTTGGAACCGCTGCAGTTTACACCTGGTGCCGGAGGGCCCTTGGACATTGCCCCGGGAAGCCCTCGGCCCAGGGCCGGATTATACGGGGATGCCAACCCGCCCACCCCTGGCTCCGCAGGCAGAAGATCCTGAAGGAGAAGGCTGTGCCCATGATTGAGGGCTACATGTTTGAGGACCACGAGCTGATCCGCCGGGCGGCCACGGAGTGCATGTGCAACTTGGCCATGAGCAAGGAGGTGAGGCGTGGCCCAGGCAGCCACGTGGGCAGGGTGCGGAAGTGCCTGTGCCCTGGGCGGCCAGCTGACCAGGTCACCTCCCTCTTCCGGCCACAGGTCCAGGACCTCTTCGAAGCCGAGGGCAATGACCGCCTGAAGCTGCTGGTGCTGTACAGCGGGGAGGACGACGAGCTGCTGCGACGGGCGGCCGCCGGGGGCCTGGCCATGCTCACCTCCATGCGGCCCTCCCTGTGCAGCCGCATCCCCCAAGTGGTCAGTGCCTCTCCTCTGTGGGGAGGGGAGGGAAGGGAAGGCGGGTCGGCATTGGTGGGTGGGTGTGCCCCCTGCCGGGGTTCAGCCTGTGGCTCGTCCCCTGCAGACCACGCACTGGCTGGAGATCCTGCAGGCCCTGCTCCTGAGCCCCAACCAGGAGCTGCAGCACCGGGGCGCTGTGGTGGTGCTGAACATGGTGGAGGCCTCGCGGGAGACGGCCGGCACCCTGATGGAGAGCGAGGTGCTGGAGATCCTGTCGGTGCTGGCCAAGGGCGCCGAGGGCCCTGTCTCGAGGGCGGCCGCGGCTTGCCTGGGGAAAGCAGTGGAATATGGGCTCATCAAGCCCAACCAGGATGGAGAGTGAGGGGCTGTGCATCACGGCCCAGGGGACCACTGCGCATCACGGCCCAGGGGACCACGCGTGCAGCTGTGGCCGTAGGGGCTGGGCTGGCAGCACGCAGGCCTCCTCCCCGGCGGCCCTTTGGAGTCCTCTGCCCTGAGTCAGGGGCCACGCGCCACAGCCCTGCTCACAGCACTACCTCCAGCCTCACGCAGAGGGGCTTTTCCTACCACTGCAGACACTGGGAAAGGGGCGCACTCCTCACTCAGCCAGGGTTCCCCCATCCGGCGGCACTTCCGGCAACCTCACAGGCAGTGAGCATCACCGAGCCCGCTAACAGGGCTGCCCGACCCCTAATAAAAGCGTGTGGAACTCAAGCGTGTGGCCTGTCCGTGGCCTGGAGGAAGGCTGGCCATTGGTCACTCTCTGGAGCAGGAGCTGGTGGGCCCAGAGCCCACGGGAGCCACCTCTGCGAAGGAACCCCATGGATTCCCCACCCCTGGTCCAGTGGGTCGAGGCTTAATCCTGTTGGAGGCCCAGGGGTTAAGCCTAGAATCTAATCAATAAACAAAGGAGTGGGTTTAGGGTACAGACTCCCGGATGCTGGCCCTTCAGTACTTGTGTCTTTGCATTAAAAGTCCTCATTGACCACGTGCAGGGCTGGTGGGCGTGTCCCCGGGCTGCTCCTCCCTCCAGCACCTGGGCCGCGGCTAAGCCCAGTCGAAGCTCATTGGCTCAACGGGATACATGACAGGTCCCAGAGCCAATGGGAGGCATGGCGGCAGAGGCGCCCGCCTGCTACGGCTGCTTCCGGTCGGGCTGCAGTCTAGCGAGCGTGAGGGAGACTGGGTGGCGGGGTGCTCCCGCCCCCCGGCCGCTGCTCGCCACCCCTTCCTCTTGGCTCCTGAGGAGGGTCCCCTGAGGGCTTCTAGTCTGTGCTCCGCGGGGGCCGGGGCCTCTGGTCCGCCTCTGCCGCGGACCCACGCCC